AGACAAGGACACCCTGGGCGCGACACCCTGGCGGCCGCCATCGCCCGATCGCGCAGCCAATCGCGAGCGCCGGGCCCGCCCCGCAGACCGCGCGTCATGGCCCGTTGCCCCGGCAACCGGCCGGCGAAGCCGCACGGCGCTAGACAGATCAGGAGGGGGGAACGCGCCATCTCGCCATGGGGCCGCCGACCAATGGGCAGTGGCGGTGCCCGCCTCGTATTTTCTCATTGGCCGAGAGGATGCCTCTATGCAAATAAACCGCATCTAAGGAGGTGCGGGCTGGCCTGGGGCTGCTCGACCTGAGGGCTGGGAGCGGGGTGCTGTGCTGCCGGGGGCTCGGGGCTTCCCGGCTGGCGGAGGCTACCCCGAGAGCCTCGCTTTGCGTGGAGATAGGCAGATGCCACACGGCTGGGCTCTTCCGGGGGCATCTCAGAGGGGGCTAAGTCACAGGTGCCGCCCTGCCCTCCCCTCCTGGCTTCACACTACTGTAGCTAGCTGCTTCTTTCCAAGGCTCCCTGGCACCCGAGCTTCCTTGGCAATGTCTTTGAAGTGTTTGATGGGACATATCTGCCCAGTGGAGTGACACAGCACTGTTTTTGGGGTGATGCCATGCGAGCACATCTCACTACAGCCCAGTCACCTCGTGATGTAACATCTCAACATGGTCAGACAAGGTTCTTCGGGCAAATGCAGTATTTTTATTAGACCAACTAAACAGTTGGAAAAATTTTTCCTTGCAAGCTTTCGGGCACAAACAAAGAACAATTTTTCAAACTATTTAGTTGTTTTAATAAAAGATACCACACATACCCAACGAACCTTGTCTTGCCTATGTCCTTAGGCCAACATGGTTATACTTCAGAGACACTTTCGAACCCCATGCTCTCTCACCCACAGAAAGTGTACTGCCCTTTGGGACTTGGGGTGATGTCTGGACTGCCAGGGCAGGCAGCCAAGAACATTTTGCAGAGCTACCTAATGCCCATTCCCTGCCCTTCATATGTGCAACTCTTGTCCTCTTTCCCCATGAAGCAAGTAAAGGCTACTTGGAACCAGGTAGGTGGCTTCCTGCAGCGGTGGTTCTTTGTGTACTGAACCAGGTGTAACATAACTCTCCTTCATGTCTTGGTGTAGCCTATTTAGGACATCTCTTGTTAGCCTTTAATCTCATCTCCCCTTGCACCTTACTCTCTTGATAGGAATCATGTAGCCAGTCTTTAACTTCTCTTTGCTCTGGATGGCCCATAGTACCTTTTTTCACCAGCAGCCAATACTCTTGCATTCCTGTATCTGATATATTTAAAGAACTGCCTGTAGTCTGCCTTTAAATCTTTGACCAAACCAGTGGCCATAGCAAGTGGAAGTTTGTCTAGGGATCTGAATTATTGTGAGGCTCATCTTCTGCAAGAGTGTCTGTCAAGCAGAGAAAATATGTAAGAAAAAACCTGATGAGCATATGTTGCAGGGTGTACTGTGGCAGTTCAGAGGAAGTGAGTCATAACAGCACATTACTACAATGATGGCCATTTATCTCAAGGTATGGAATAGAATGATTAGCCTTGCCAGAGCCAGTGCACAGGGCAGTCTGGCAGACACCCTGTTGGACTGGCCCCTGAGTGCTGGCTCCAGGGCTGGGGTGTGCTGCAGGCAGGTACAGGGCAGGACCAGCTGTGCATGCTGCCCACAGCACATGAAGTTAGCACAAGTTGCATACTGTACTCTGCTGGGCAGCCTTCTGTGCCAGTTCTGGCATGACTCAATTCAGACCATCCCTGGAGCCAGCACTCTAGGACCTGTTCAGTGGGGCACAGCATGCAACAATCACCCCACAGCCCCCCCCCCCAAGTCACAAGCAGAATGTGTGGTGCCAGTTCCAGCCCATGTGCCAGACCAGCTCTACATGCCACAAGCAGCATGCAGGTTCTGTCTGAGACCCATGGGCTAGCTGCTAGATCATACAGCTCCACAGGCTGGATCAGTGTTCGGTATCCCTGGTATAGGAGTGCTTGCTTTTAGCTTTGGAGGGCCCTAGTTCAGGTTCCAGTACATTACTTGGGAAGGTAGTCGCACTGCTACTTCTAAGCTGTCAGAAGAAATCAGCTCTTGGATAGTGTGATGAGCCTGGGCTTTTGTCCCTACCCCTTCTCATCTGTACTTCCCTAGCCTCTCTCACCTGCTATGATTTGCTGGTAACCAATGAATTTGGAAGGGAGGCTGTTCTTGGAACCAGAATAGCCCTTTCCAGGGTGCTTTCAGCCTGTTATCCATGGCCTCCTTGCCATCCTCTTATCTATGTCCACACCTCACTGATGGCTGCTTACCTGCCCCGTTTTGATAACATTTTCCTTCTTGCTTCAATTTTGTGTACTGGACTAACACTGGGTCCTTCAGCTTCACTTTCAACCTTTTTTGCCCTAGCTGAGATCCTTCAGTCCAGGTCCACTGATGTGGGCCCTGGCTCTGCAGGACTCAGCCCCACAGTGGAAGGTGCCAAGTAGACAGCTCATTTGTGGATTCTTTTACCCCTAGAGCCACTCCCAGTCCTCCAGTCTTAAACTTAAATACACAGAAGAAAAATCAGAACTCAAGACGATGCAGTTATAACTCAACTACAAGTTATAACTCAACCACACAGGGAACTGTCTTAATTCCTCCTAGCCCTAGAGTACCTCCTTTTCACTATCAGCTAGCTCTGTCCTCCATCCCTTTCCATACCACATGCAAGCCTGACCTACCAGCCCCAGCTCAGCGACTGGGCTTATATGTAACTAAGCCCTGCCCCTGCCAGTCACCTGACTGCTGCCCCCTGAAGATGGGCCCATGGGTGTTCCCATGAGAAAGGTTGTAATGAGGACAGTCAGAAAGACAACAAGAAGTCCTTTTTTAAATACATAATGGGCCAAGAAAAAGGTACCGGGTAACGTGGGGCCCCTGCAAGACACACTGGGAAATCTGGTCGTCACACAAGACGACAAAGCTAACCTATTTAACAATCCCTTTGCCTCCATTTTCCTGAGCAGGGACTGGATCAGCCCCCACACCGGGACCCCCTCAGGCCCCAAGGGAGGCGCACCAAGGCCAAGGGTCAGTGAGGATCTAGTCAGGGAACTTCTGGAGGGACTGGATGTATTTAAATCAGCTGGTCTGGATGATCTCTACCCCAGAGTGCTGA